TTTGTTTCACAAATTAACTGTGGCTTTTTAGTATAGCTCTTTATTTTTCCTAGAATTTCTCATTTTCCAAAATGAGAGAATAAATATATGCATTCCTCTGCAAAACATGAAGAATTTCTAGCTCTTGCCAGAAACTATGGCACAAACCTGTAATCATGATCCTCAGCACCACATATAAATAAATAAAGGTCCATCACCTACTAATAAAATATTTAAAAATTAGTCAAAAGGGCTGGGAGTGTAGCTCAGGGGTAATTCTCTATTTACTTCTTTATTAGTGGAAAATTATCCCATTCTCTTTTAAGAATTTTTTCTTAGAGTTCGTTGACTTTAGGATCTGATTTGAACCAGCTATACACAGGCCATTCTGCTATTTGATGCACTCCTAACTCAGTTTTTACTCAACTTCTCTTGGCAGCCCTGACTGCCTACTGTGTTTGCTACATTCCTGTGGATTTGTCATGTAAATACAATCCTTAGGGAGTTTTGAATCTCACTGCTTTCACCTAGCAGTTGCACCATTTCTCTTTTTTGCTTTTTTACCTTTGTTTTCCTGGAGTATAACCTCAAGAGACTTCCTCAGAGGTGATACCTCAGAAATGAACTTCTTTATTGCTTGAAGAATTACATCATCTTGATTTTGCAATGCACAATTTAGTACCACTTTGACCAGAGATAGAATTGTAGCTTAGCTGTTTATATATCTGCGGTCAATGGAATTTGCTTTGTTTTAGGGTATTTATTTATTCTTAGTGTTATGGGATTTCACAGGGATTTGTGTATGTGTGAGATTTTAGGACTCATCTTTTTAGGCGTTCTATGGGATCCTTTTTATTTTTCCTGTATTTTTTTTAAATCAAACAAAATAATTTATGATTTTTCTTATCTTTCTCTTCATTGTTATAGGTCATGCCTTTTTACTTATTATATAAGAAGATTCTCTTTGATGTAGAGCTCTATGAGTTTTGACAAAAGTATAAACAAGACAAATAGGATACAAAAATATTTATTACATTATCCCCCAAAATATATTCCCGCACCACCTCTTTGTAGTCAACTTTTTCACCTATTCTTAGTTCATAACAACCTCTGAAGTATTCCTCATCTTGTAGAATAGAATCCCTAGGAAGAGCCTTGAGTCTAACTTCTTTCTCTAAGCAAAATGCCTTTGGGATCTGCTGTGTTGTGTGTATCGCTGGTTTATTTTCTCACTGTGTTGTCTTCCACTGAATGGATATACCACAGTTTGTGCATTATTTCATCAGTTAAGAGACATTGGGTAATTTCTAGTTTAGGATAATTGTGAATAAAGCAGCTATAAACATTCATCTACAAGTTTGTGAACATAGGTTTTCACTTCATTTAGACAGATCCCTAAAGAGGAGGTTCGCTCTGTATATGGTAAGCTTATGTTTGAATATATACAAATATATAAAACTACTACACTTCATCTAAAGGTTGCAAAATTTTACGTTCTTTTCAACTGTGCATGGAAGTTCCCCACTTCCTTGCCAGCATTTATTTATATGGTACACTGTTTTTAATCTTAAATATTGTGTTGGTATCACATTATGATTTTAATTTTCATTTCTCTAATGACAAATAATATTGAACTTTTATTCATGGGCTAAATTACCATCTGTATGTCTTTAGTGAAGTGTCTTTTCATATATTTCACATGGTTTATAACTGGGTATTTTCTTATTATTGAGTTACAATGTGTTCATGTAATTTGGATACAGTTCCTTTGTGGAATTTGTACTAGGCAAAAATTATCTCCTTGTTTTCATTTGCTTAATAAAGTCTTTCATAGGGTGAGTTTCTTTTTTTTTTAATTTTTATGAAGTCCAAATTTCTTTAGGGATTGTGCTTTTAGTGTCATAACTAAGATCTCATCACCTAAGTCAAGGTCTTCACGGTTTTCTCCTATAGGTTCTTCTTGAAGTTTTTATAGTTTTAGGTTTTACATTGAGTTCTGTGATCCATTTGGAGATTAGAGATCACAGTGGTAATGCTAGGGAACATTTGTGTGTGTGTGTGTGTGTGTGTGTTTGCATCCAGATATATAGATGAAGTTTTTCAGTAGGACTTTTGGAGGGTCCATGCTTCTTGATATGCCATTTTATAAGGGCAATGCCATTCTTAGCCTAAGACCTATGTCCTTTTTGTTCTTCAGAGAGTACTTGGATATTCTCTTCATCAGCAGTATTTTAAAATTCATGATGAAATACCCTAGCTTGAGACTCTTTTATTCAATGCACTAGGAACTTGGTGACATCAACAGATAAGACTCGTAAACCAAACAATGTTGGCAGATGACGTGGATTCAAGGAAGCTCTGGGCCAGCATGTGCAGTGCAATAATAGAAAAAAAAAAGAAGGGAGAGAAAGCAAAGGAGATGAATGAAGAGGAATGAGAAGCCTGGCAATTGGAATAGCTGCACCAGATGATCAGCTGCCCAGAAGGAACTTCCTGGCTTCCGCTGTAAAGAAATTGAACTATGTTCTATGGGAGAACTAGAGCAATTTGTGTCCATGTTAGCGACCCAGGGCACATCGCTGTCCATCCTGGCACTTGGCAGACAGAAGTGTAGTGGAAAATACTGTGTAGAACTCAAGCTAAAGTTTAGTTTCTCACTGGCCTAAACTCTAGTCAATATGGGCTCTACATGTAAATAATGAGAGACTCGTGGGCTAGGCAAGTGTGATGGGATAGCAGGGCAGCAGTAGGGACCAGCTGTGCTTGGTGACCACCAATTTAGAGTGAGACAGGGCAGCATGACTGTGGTTCAACTCTTGCCTCATTTATCTGCCCTTTATGGACGAGGCTGGTGGGAGGAGAGACTTTTGCTGACTGACATTTCATATATCAACTTGTTAAATCTTGTCCATTACAATCATTTACATTTCACCACACCACTTAAATTGCCATTGTTACCCAGTTTTTATTTTGGGATTTTGCCAAAGCTAGTGTTTTTTTTCAAGGGCAAAGATTAAGAATCCTTGCAAATGAATACCCATCTTATCTTTCCATGTCTCCTGTGTCCTTATCCCTCACATCATTATCTTTGATAAGTCATGTATGTAGTCTTTTTCTTAAGAGAAAGGAAAATTATAATAACTGGCCCAGAGGCAAAGATATCCCCAAACCTTCATCTATAGCAGTCTTTGAAATATACCAGCCACAATGCAGGAGAACAAGGTGGTGGAAGGAGCCAAATTAGTCTCCAAGTTGCCAATGGTACGCAGAATAATGCATTGTGGGGAGGAGGGATGGGAGAAGTTTGGCATGTTACAGACAAGTGGCATCAAATACTTCACTGTTGGACTGGGGTTGTGGCTCAGTGGTAGAGCACTTGCCTAGCACATGTGAGGCACTGGGTTTTATCCTCAGCACCACATAAAAAGAAGTAAGTAAAACAAAGATATTGTATCCAACTACAGCTGTTTGCCTGAGTACCTCTTGAGGAGGAAAAGCAGAAATGGAGCAGAGACGAGATGACCTTCCAGGATATGTGACTTCCTTTGCTTGTTAGAAGATCACTTGATCTACTGTATATATGCCCCCTAGCTCTTGACCTGTGATTCTCTAATCTCAGCTTCTCTAAGGAGTCTGTGGATGGGGCTGAAAATGTCCATTGCCAGTCTAACAGGAAATAAGTACAAAAGTAAAGAGTAAGAATTTAAAAATGCATAGGAATTTGAAAATGCTGCAGTATTCAAGCACATGAATTTTGTATTTTGTGTGTTTACTGATCCTTGACAATAAATAATACATTAGGATTTTTAAAAACTAAAACTGGTCTATCAGAAATTCTGCTCAATAGACCATTATAGAAACGTAGTACATTTCTCAAGCTATTTTAAAATTTGAAATGATGATCTTTTATGTTTTCCCAAAGAGGATTTTTATGTTTAATTTTCCCATCGTCATACCACACTTAGAAAAATTTTTAAAAGACAAAAATACTCTGCCAGATTATTTCACTTCATTGTTATAGAGACCAAACCCACTCGGTTTTTCCTTAGGCTACAGCCAGCTCAGGTGTGAAGTTCAGTGAGAAATAGGCTTCCTACAATTGATGGCTTGTTTCAGTCTTATCAGGAGTGGAATGATCTTCAAAGTCCCTCTTTTATTTTTTTCTTGTTATTGTTGTTTTCCTCTTTTAATTTTTCATTTTCTATTCCCTTGTTATTTATCTTGTTATTGATTAAAAGGGCAAGTAAGTTGGCTGTTGTACAGAACTTTATTTGAAAGGAAATGAACCCCAAGTAATGCTGCTTTCCAAACTTTTGATTTCTCACTTCTTTTGACAACGCATCAATGCTGTGATGTTGTTGTTGCTATCATGCAGATTGTTTTTAGTGTCCCCCATCATTGGCTAAAACACCTCAGAGGCTGTCTCCATCAAAGCTAAATGCATGTTGCTCAGGGAAGCTGGGTATATGTGTGTGTGTGGTATGTTTGTAAGCTGCAGCAAACGTGTTTGTGTATGTGACAGAAACTGTCACACCTCAACAACTTGACCCTGTTGTTCCCTCGGAGAGACAAAGAAAGCTGAGCACTGTATTGGTGAGCACAGCCAAAGGTGTTATATAGTGAAATAAAATTTTAAGAGCGGAGTTCTTGAAACATAAAATATTCACACTTCTATGTGAAATCTTTTTCTGGATGCCTGTATAGCCCCAGAATATGAGCATTGTGCTGAAGTCTAAATTTTCTAAATTTTCTGAGTTCCTTTCTGTGACCAACTCATTATTCTTCACTTGGATATTATCAACTAGAAAGAAGAAAAGGAATTGGCTGGAATGTCATGAGGCTTCATTTTAATTTAATACCTTCAACTAATTGCAAACAGCATAAATCTCTGCTATTGGTTCCAGGCTTGATTGGAACCAGTAGCAGAGATTTATGCTGCTATGTTGGAGTCTCAGTGCCTGTGACTCCAACACTAAATAGTCAAGAGGCCAAGGCAGAGGCATGGAGGAATGGTAATGCTTACTGAGACTAGAGTCACATACTGACACAGAACTTGTCCTGGTGTGCTACAGATCTCAGAGAGAATTTGCTGGTCTTGATTCACTGGCGGGAAGGAGGGGGCAGTCAGTGTCCTCACTGGTGCCCAGATCAGAAACATACCCTACCTGGGACCTTGAAAGTTAATGTTGGCATCTTTCTCGTGCCCATTAAGAAATTGGTACATGCTGTGGTGTGTTATAAATCCTTTTCCTCTAGGGTTACTACAGAGTTTTGGGGAAGGGAAAGCTCCCAAAGCAGCCTGTCATTGTGAAGCCCAAATTCTTCAGCAGAAGAGCTGAGGAGAAGATTAAGGGTATTGGGGTTCTTATGTCCTGGTGGCTTAAAGCCACATGGAGCTCTGGGGTTTCATTAAATCTTAACAAATACTTAAAAAAAAAGTGTAATGCACTTTTCTTCATTTTTTAAGCATTATTTTTTAACTTTTCATTTCAATTTCTTTTTAACTTATACATAAAAATTGTATGTACTTTTAGAACACCACATGATGTTTCAATACATGTATACACTGTGTAGTATTTAAAGTGTATCTACCCCATCAAACACTTATTTACTTATGGTGAAAGTATTCAAAATATTTCTTTAACTACAAAAAAACCAAATGAAATCCTGTCATTTGTAACAACATGGATGAAACTGAAGATGTTCATGTTCAGTGAAATTAGTCAGGAGTGGGAAGTACCATACATATTTTCCATAGGGAAAAATTCCTCTACTTATCACAGGACTAATTAAATGAAAAATCATCAAATTTCCAGTAGACTAGCAACATTTATTTAGAGACTGCCTTATATAGATCATCATGCTAGCACTGCAAAGGTGGCATCTCTATTAAATTTATTTATTCTTGCCAAAGCAAATCTTTTATAGGCATAAAATATATATAATTATGTCTTGTAGCATAGTTTGCTGTTTTGATTTATCATTCTCCCTCTACACTGCAAATTTCATAAGGCCAAAGATAAAGTCTTACATATCTATGTATCCCCCCACCCCCATACAATGTATCCCAGCTTAGTTTTCTATGTAATAGAAGCTCAAAGAATGCTACCTAAAATGAAATATTTTTTTCTTTCTTTTTTTTAATATCTTTATTTTTATGTGATGCTGAGAATCGAACCCAGTGCTTCACGCATGTCAGGCGAGCTAAAATGAAATATTGAAGGGATAATAGATTGGTTCTCCACACTGGGTTCAGGTGGCGGATATGACCATAGTTGAGAGACCGGTTTAATTATTAATTAACTCAGTTTGTCATTCCAAAGATATTTATTTTGCCCCTGCTGTGTCAGCATTCTCTAAGATGTTAAAGCATGTAGGTACAGAAAAGGATGCAGATGGTACAGCCCTTATGAGTCTGTACTTGAGGTTAGGTCCAAGACTCCATTACCTTATTTCTCTGCGGCACCTGATGAGACTAGGCTATGGAGTTCAGTTCCACTCCATCCCACTCTCATTTCCTAACATTATACACCTGCACCCACTCCCAGGATTCCTGTTTGGTTGCTGAGAGAGGTGAGTGTAGGAGTATTTGATTGCCAGAATTTAACTTAACTTCTTTTACATTAAACTATAATGTATGCAGTGAAAAAAAACATTGAATTGTGTTAACAATAGATGACTCTTTGCAAGAGAAGAAGTGGGTATACTTGGAGCCAACACAATAAAAAAACCACAATAAAAAAACATGAGGGGATAAAAGACGGTAAAAAATGAACAGCTGGGCATAGTGGTGCATGCCTATAATCCCAATGACTTGGTATCGTAGGGCAGGAGGATCACAAGTTTGAAGTCATTCTGGTCAATTTAGTGAGACCCCTTTTCAAAATATAAAAAGATCTGGGGATGTAGCTCTGTGGTAGAGGTCCCCAGAAGCAGGGTGAAAAAAAGCCACTCTATTAGTAAACAACAAAGTACAAACACAAATGCCAAAATATTTGTATAATTGGAGTCCCTAAAAAAAAATGAGTCGGGCCAAGGACTTAAAAAAATTATAAAAAATTTCCCATTTTGAGTAAAATGATAAAAACACAGATGTAAGCACTTCAAAGAATTCCAAGAACAATTAACATGAAGTAATCTCCATCAAAGCACATCCTTTTACATTTCTTAAAACCAGTGGAAAAGAGAAAATATGAAACAAAGCCAAACAAACACACCCAGGTAAAGCCACAATAAACAGATAGGAAGAAAGAAAAGAATGATAGCAAACATCTTCTATGAAACAATAGAAGACAGAAATCATTGGAACAGTGGCTTTTCATACCAAAGAAAAATCGAGAATTCATTACCCTGCAAGAGGTCTTTCAAATTAGAGATCTTTGCAGACATACGAAAGCTGAAAAAATTCATTGTCATTTTTTTCTTCACCAAAAGTATGTTAAAAAAAGTTTCTCACCTTGTGCTATGATGCATGCCTGTAATCCCAATGGCTCTGGAACCTGAGGCAGGAGGATTGTGGTTTCAAAGCCAGTCTCAGCAACTTAGTGAGGCACTAAGCAACTTGTGAGACCCTGTCTCTCATAAATACAAAAAAATGTCTGGGGATGTGACTCAGTGGTTGAGTGCCCCTAAGTTCAATTCCTAGTACCAAAAAAAAAAAAAAAAAAAGAGTTTTTTCAAGCAGAAGAAAAATTACACTTGGAAGTAAAATGCATCTGCACAATTGAATGAAGATCCCTGAGAAATGGTAATTACATGGGTAAATATACAAAATAATTTTCTTGTTATTTTCATCTCTTCAAAAGATATTGAGGCCAACAAAATAATATTGCATTGTGGAGTTCATAGCATGCATAGTGATTCATGTTTGGCAACAGTAGCACAAAACTTTAGAGGAAGAAATGGAAAATCACTATTAGAAGATTCTTCAACTATGCATAGCATCACTTATAGGTAGACTCTTGATAAGTTGAAGTTGGATACTTAAAGGAACTTTTAAAATAATAACAGTTAATAAATAATAGCTAATAAATCAAAAAGAAGATACGAAGTTGATTCAGAAAATATATTGAACTATTTCAAAGAAAAGCAGAAAAAGAAAAATTCAGAAAGATGGAAATGAAATAACAAGATTACAGATATAAAAATCTAACCACATAGATAATCATATTAATGTAAATAATAATTCCAAATAAAAGGCAGGGAATTTTAGTTTCTGCCTACATGTAACCCACTTTAAATATACAATCATAAATACATTTGCAATAAAAGAATAGAAAAAGATATTCCAGCATAACTTTAATGAAAAGAATACCTGAGTGCCTCTATTAATGCTGAAAAATATAAATTTCAGAACAAATAAATATGTCAGGGATAAAGATGGTTATTTGATAATAATAATAAATGGGTCAAGTAACCAAGAGTATGTAATCAACCTAAACTTTGTTCACATAATAGCAAAGCTTCAAAATAATCAAAAGAAAAATAAAGAGAATTAAACATATTTACAATAAAAGTTAGTGACTTCTATATTCCTTCTCCAGTAATTGAAAGAACAATTAGACAAGAAGTCAGTAAAGTCATCAAAGATTTCATCAAACAATTTCCCCTAATTGGAAGAGTGATGTACGTACTCTTTTAAAATATACATTAAAGCCCTTTATCAAAATAGACCATACTCTCTGTTCCATAAAACATTGTCAATAAATTTAACACTGTTTCATAGTATGCTGAAAAGATTTAACTTATGGTGTATACTTTGACCACTATGGACATAAATTAGAAATCAACAGCAGAACTTATCTGGGCAAGCTGGGCACAGCATTGAATGCCTCTAATCCCAGCTTCCTTAGCCTGAGTGAGGAGTATTGCAAGTTTGAGGCCAGTCTCAGCAATTTAGCAATATCCTGTCTCAAAATAAAAAATAAAGAGAACTGAGGATGGAACTGAGTGGGTTCACTCTCCAGTACCAAAAAAAAAGAAAGAAAAATTTATCCAGAAATCCCCCAAATAAGTGAAAATTAAGCAAAACACTTTTGAATGATGCAGAGGTCAAGAAGGCATTCAAAAAGAAAATTACAAACATATGTTGAACTGAAGGAAAATGAAAAAACTATATCAAATTCATGAGATAGAAAAAAATAGTACTTAGGGGCATGTTACCACTGAGATGCATCCCAAACCATTTCAATATTTTTTTAAAGTCTAGCTAAATTGCCTAGGCTGATCTCAAACTTGTAATCTTCCTGCTTTAGCCTCCCAAGTAGCTGGGATTATAGGCGTGGTTCTCTATGCCTACCTTTATATTGATTTTTATTGTAATATACAAAATTGGGAAAGAAGAAAGTTTCAAAATTAATGGTCAATTATCTGAGCTTTCATATTAAAAAGCTTAAAACAAAAGTGAATGAAAGGTAAAGTAAGGGGCTGGAGATGTGGCTCAAGTGGTAGCACGCTCGCCTGGCATGCGTGCGGCCCGGGTTCGATCCTCAGCACCACATACAAACAAAGATGTTGTGTCTGCCAAAAACTAAAAATAAATAAATAAATATTTAAAAAAAAAAAAAGAAAGGTAAAGTAAGTAAGATAGATAGAAAGCAATAAAGCAATAGAGAAAAATCAATGACTCTAGAAGCTGAGTCTTTGAGCTTACTAAAATTGATAAATTTCTCTTCTGCCAGATCAAGAACAAAAAGAAGAGAACCAAATTACCAAAATCAGAAATGAAGGGCGTTAATGACCACTTATGGATGCTATAGCTATTGAGGTTAATAGACTATATGACAAGTTTACGTCAATACATTGAAAACTGAGACAAATTGAAATATGCACCTTACTAAAGATCAATCAAAAAGGAATAAGTAGCCCAATATCTATTACACTAGTTGGATTTTTACTTTAAAATTTCCCCATAAGTAAATCTTCAGGACCAGAGGATTTAACCTTGAAGTTTTGCCAAACACTTAGAGAAAAAATAATACTACTTTTACAGAAACACTCAGAAAATTGAAAGAAGACCTTTCTATAAGGCTGGTTTAATCTTGATACCAGAAAAAGACATTGTAAAAAAATGGGGGTGGGGAGAAATCGCAGGTCAGCATACCTCATGAATATAAAATGAGAACAGTTAAAAAAAAATTACAAATTGTATTAAATTGAAT